CTCTTCCGATCTCCCCAAAACCCCAAAACCCCTTAGTGAAAATATTCATTTATACTTAGAAGCATAATTAATAGAGATAAACGGAAATTAATATATCGTAGTAGGTCTTAGCCAATCATAAACTGTTATTTAAGTCCTCATTATTGTCATTTTTCTAGGAAGGTACTTCAAAAATTTTCATGAATAAATTTTTATTTATCAACGACTCTACTTTCAAAGTATGTCTTTGTTTTTTCCTGCTTTCATTAAGTGAATTGAATGTCATTTTAGCAGCATCATTACGAGTCTAGATTCTACTAGATTATACTCGGCTTCTTCTTGCCATTTCATCTTTAGATTTTGATGATGATTCCTGAGGCTAAATCAAAGATTGTTTTCTAAATTCTCTTACTATCTAATCTCTGTCCATTCTTTCGAAGAAATTCTCACCTTGTTTTGGCTGATTTCTGAGTAAATAAGATTGATGTTTCTTTTTCATAAATGGGTCTTTGTTCATAAACAAACATCTGTTTAAGTATCTAGAGTATCTTTCAACCATTCTCGTATCTTTCATTAAATCTTTAACACCTATCTAAGTTTTATTGTCATTTAGGTCTGCATTCCCATGCTCTAGATTATGAATTGCATTTTACTATTGCTTCTTTTTGCGCATAAAATAGCCATATTTCCTTGATTTCTCATACAAATTATCTTCATTTATAATCTCTGGGTGATAACCATAATGACTAGACATATCTTAAACTAGTTCCTCAAAGTCATCATCTTTAATAAGTACCTCCCAGGTCTTTTTATCTTTTGCCAATGACTAAAAGAAGTCTTTTTAAAGTATGGAATTTTATTAAGAATCCTCGAGGATGTTTATAGGAGGTTTTTGCATTTATCTTTCCTACTCGGTTTCGATTTGATTCAAAGTATTAAGCAATTGCTACATTTTCATAAGATCTTAATTTGGTCTTATTTCAACTTTTTTCCTCATAATTTCTTAGAGATTTCTATATTTAGAGGTTATAGAATCTTGGTATTGTCTCTTGATTAAACTATTTTCTCTATCAAGAATACTTTGTAAACTATCAAATGATTTTATCTAGTCACTCTCAAATTATCACTATACTTGCTATTGTCTTTTTTCAAAAGTTAGGTTTACTCTATCAACGACTTTTTCAATTTACTCATAGGCCAAAGTTGAATCTTTTTTTGTAGGAGACACTTTCGATGAGTCATCATTTAGCTAAAAAGAATCATCTTGTGTAAATCCTAAGTTGGCATAATGTTTATTGATAGGCGGTGAGGTATTGTCTTATCTACTCTATTTTAAATCTGTAAAAGATTTCGAATGGCTCTGCTTATTGATGCAGAGATTAATTAAGTTACTCATATTTTGTTACTTTCTGTTGTAAAAACCAATCTTCTTCCTTATTCCTTCAATCATGTCTCCAACATAAGCTTCATTTCCAGCAATTAGCATTTTGGCAACTGATGGCTCCTTAGGCTTTTAAGAGAATTATTCAAACGATTTATTGTCTTTTTGCCTTTGGTAAAATTATCTAATTTTTGCCTGTGCTTGGATAGTCTTTGCTTTTTACTACTCTAAGTTTTCCTTTTCTTTTCCATGACGATATATTTAGGTATCTAGAGAAGATTAAATCTGTGACTTATCAAGGAGCTCTTATAGCTTATCTTTAATTTCATTATGCTTAAAATTCTTAGCTACATCTAGAATCCTTTCTTGATCCTAGTTTAGCATCATTCTTGTCTCATCATCTATTTCAATCAAGGGTTTTGCTTTCCTTTTGAATAGAATTTATTTGTTTAAAGACATGGTAGTAACATGGTGCTGATTATTAATTATTTGGCTACTCTGTTTAGTAGATTATTTTGTATCCTCACTTTATCTAATGCTATTTTCATTTTGATGGATCCTCTTTAATTTTGCAGCTTTAAGGAAGTTCTATTTGAAAGTTTTGAGTGATTTGTTCTAAATAGGTCTTGATTCTTCACTCGATAATATACGATTATGATTTTTATGGTCCTCTAAGTAACTCTAAGCATTTATTTCTCTGCTAATATCTTACTCCTCGATTTAGGTTACATTGACCATCGTTCTTGGCATTTAATTTGAAAATAAAGTTCTGTCCTATCTGAATTGTGAATTTCTACTGATCAAGGCTTAATATTAAGGTGTTCTAAGAGAAATATTATCTCCCTCTTTGTAAGTGAGATTGATTCTTCATCTGAGTCCATTATTCGTAATAGGAGTAAATGTGTTTCTTGATTTGATTGAATTGAAGTCAATAGAAGTAGTCAGTTCACCATTTGTTGTCTGAGAAGGCTATCTTTTGTCTTGGGTATTATAGTTGTTCAATTTTATCCTATGATCAGTAGATATTGGAATATTTTTAATGGCTGTTTGCATTTTATAATTATATTATCCATATCAAATAAAAGTGATTTGATCCTTGATGGGGTTTTGGGGTTTTGGGG